GCTAATGTCTTACCAGGAATCTGACACCGGTTTGGCGCCTCCACACCTTTGGGATGTTGCTGCCGATCGACAACGCATGGCGGAGGAACAGCCGCTACAGGTCGCGAGGTGCACAAAGATTATCCAGGATGAGAAGGACTCGGACAAGAGTAAATACGTGATCAACGTCAAGCAAATTGCCAAGTTCGTTGTCAACCTCGGAGAGCGCGTTAGTCCGACAGATATCGAAGAAGGCATGAGAGTTGGGTAAGTTATATGGTGGATTATATGTCATTTCTATGTACTGACTAGGCTTCGCAGCGTCGACCGTAATAAGTATCAGATCATGCTGCCCTTGCCGCCAAAGATCGACCCCAGCGTGACAATGATGACTGTCGAAGATAAGCCTGATGTGACCTACGGCGATGTTGGTGGATGCAAAGAACAGATCGAAAAGCTACGAGAAGTAGTCGAAATGCCCTTGCTATCGCCAGAGCGCTTCGTGAATCTCGGTATCGACCCACCCAAGGGTGCTCTGCTCTACGGACCCCCAGGAACCGGAAAGACCCTTTGCGCCCGTGCAGTCGCCAACCGAACGGATGCTACCTTCATCCGTGTCATTGGTAGTGAACTGGTGCAGAAGTACGTTGGTGAGGGTGCTCGGATGGTCCGTGAACTGTTCGAGATGGCCCGTACCAAGAAGGCATGCATTATTTTCTTCGACGAAATTGATGCCGTTGGTGGTGCACGTTTTGACGATGGCGCTGGTGGAGACAACGAGGTTCAGCGAACCATGCTGGAACTGATCACACAGCTGGATGGATTCGACTCTCGGGGTAACATTAAAGTCATGTTCGCTACCAACCGTCCGTCTACACTTGACCCAGCCTTGATGCGTCCCGGCCGTATCGATCGTAAGATCGAATTCTCACTACCGGATGTCGAGGGTCGTGCCAACATTCTCCGAATCCACGCCAAGAGCATGTCCGTCGAGCGAGACATCCGTTGGGAGCTGATCTCGCGACTGTGCCCCAACGCTACAGGTGCCGAACTCCGCAGTGTTGCGACTGAGGCGGGTATGTTTGCTATTCGGGCTCGCCGTAAGGTGGCCACCGAGAAGGACTTCTTGGCCTCCGTTGAGAAGGTGATTAAGGGCAACCTCAAGTTCAACTCGACGGCTACATATATGCAGTACAACTAGAAATTCCGACTCACTTGCATTATGGATGGGATGTACGATCACTATTGTCTTGTTACATGGGAGTTTTTCCTGGTCAATGCAATATAATTTCAACCTGTGTACTACCAATGTAGTACGTAGTCCGTATAACTTTCCTGATTTGGTCGGAACGCACACGGCTTGTCATGTGATTCTAACTAGTCATATTGAATCACATGACTATCTCGATCTAACTACTAGATACCACAATGATCGATATCCAGCAATTGCACGTCATTCTACTAGGAAAAGTGGGACTAAAGTCAGAAAAGATAACCAGATATAGATTCAAGATCCCGTGATATGACGCTCTACCGTTGACTTCCGGCAGCTGTGTTGGCCGGCAAAATGGAATATCATACCTAGATAGTGGATCCTTTCCAATTGGCCAATCACGGGCAACCGGCTGCCCGAGGTTGATTTTCATTGCGCAGCTGCTGATTGGCTAATTTGGCCCGGTCCTCCCCGTCGGCAACTGGGAGAATGATTATGTCAGCGTGAAACTGTTCAACCGTAACCCGAGTCCAGATGAAAGTGTCGCCCTGGAAGGAGTTCGCTATTCCACAATCTCCCCTCTTTGTTAAGCCTGTCACCGACCCTCGGTGTCCTGCGATTATCTCGGTTCATTTAGGGAAACCCAATTCTCGTTTGATCCGCCATTATGAGCTCCATGAGCATGCGGAGTTTAGCTCCTGCTTCCAAGGTGAGTAGCCATGCAACGATTTTCAGCCCATTCGCAACGGCCATGACATACTCATACGTCGATCTCTCTAGGTTTCCCGCATCTTGAGGAACCAGAGACGTCTCTTCTCATCTTCAAAGCCCGCAGGTACGCATTAGACTACTCAACCCATGAACGCACCGTCACTAACTGAACTGCGCCAGCCCGGATATGGTCCAACCAGCCTTTGCGCGCTAAGGAGTCCAGTGGCTACCTGAGTGACAAGTACCCTATCATTGTAAGAGCTACCACTCACAGGCGGTTGATTGAGTCTAACATGCGCAGGATCACGAGTACGATGCCCTCGTTGTCGGTGCCGGAGGTGCCGGTTTGCGCGCTGCTTTCGGTCTGGCTGAAGCTGGATTCAAGACTGCTTGTGTTTCCAAGCTGTTCCCTACGAGAAGTCACACTGTCGCTGCCCAGGGTGGTATCAACGCTGCCCTCGGAAAGTAGGTTTTCACCGCAAGCACCGGAAGGTACCGAATTGAGTCTAACTGAATTTTAGCATGCACCCGGATGACTGGAGATGGCACATGTACGATACCGTGAAGGGTTCTGATTGGCTTGGTGACCAAGATGCCATTCACTACATGACCCGCGAGGCTCCCGCCAGTGTCCGCGAGCTTGAAGGTTACGGTTGCCCATTCTCGCGTACTGAGGATGGACTTATTTACCAGCGTGCTTTCGGTGGTCAGTCTAAGGATTTCGGCAAGGGTGGTCAGGCTTACCGTTGCGCCGCCGCTGCTGATCGTACTGGTCACGCCCTTCTGCACACCCTCTACGGACAGTCTCTCCGCCACCACACCAACTACTTCATCGAATTCTTCGCCCTTGACCTGCTGATGGAGGATGGTGTTTGCCGTGGTGTCATTGCCTACAACCAGGAGGATGGTACTCTGCACCGCTTCAAGGCCCACCACACTGTTCTTGCCACCGGTGGTTACGGACGAGCCTTCTTCTCTTGTACCTCCGCCCACACTTGCACTGGTGACGGTATGGCTATGGTTTCTCGTGCTGGTCTCCCTAACCAGGATCTGGAATTCGTCCAGTTCCACCCTACTGGTATCTACGGTGCTGGTTGCCTGATTACCGAGGGCTCCCGTGGTGAGGGTGGTTACCTGATCAACTCCGAGGGTGAGCGTTTCATGGAGCGTTACGCTCCTACCGCCAAGGATCTTGCCTCCCGTGATGTCGTCTCCCGCTCCATGACTCTGGAGATCCGTGAGGGCCGTGGTGTCGGTCCCGAGAAGGACCACCTCTACCTCCAGCTCAGCCACTTGCCTGCTGAGCTCCTGCACGAGCGTCTGCCCGGTATCTCCGAGACTGCCTCGATTTTCGCCGGTGTTGATGTCACCAAGCAGCCCATCCCTGTCCTGCCCACCGTCCACTACAACATGGGTGGTATCCCCACCAACCACACTGGTGAGGTTCTCAATGTCGACGAGAACGGCCAGGAGAAGCCTGTTCCCGGTCTGTACGCCTGTGGTGAGGCCGCCTGTGTGTCTGTCCACGGTGCTAACCGCCTGGGTGCCAACTCCCTGCTTGATTTGGTTGTCTTCGGCCGTGCTGTGTCTCACCGTGTCCGTGACATTGCCAGCCCTGGCCAGCCTCACAAGCCCCTTGCAGCCGATGCTGGTGCTCAGTCTGTCAAGGACCTCGACCATGCCCGTAACGCCGATGGCCCCAAGTCGACTTTCGAAGTCCGCAACGCTATGCAGAAGGTCATGCAGACCGATGTCAGCGTCTTCCGTACCCAGTCGAGCTTGGACGAGGGTGTTGAGAAGATCAACAAGGTTGATCAGCTGTACGAACAGGTCGGCACCAAGGACCGCAGCATGATCTGGAATTCCGACTTGGTGGAGACTCTTGAGCTCCGCAACCTGCTCACTTGCGCGTACGTAACCCCGAATAACTGATCTAGGATCGCTTGCTAACATTAGATCTCACAGTACCCAAACCGCTGCTTCCGCTGCAGCTCGTAAGGAGTCTCGTGGTGCTCACGCCCGTGAGGACTACCCCGAGCGTGATGACCAGCACTGGATGAAGCACACTCTCTCCTGGCAGAAGGTTCCCCACGGCGAGATCAAGCTGGGCTACCGTCCCGTTCAGTCCCACACCTTGGATGAGTCGGAGTGCAAGTCTGTTCCTCCTTTCAAGCGTGTCTACTAAGCTCGCTATTTTGGATACGACCCGCAGAGAATAGGAGGATACCACGGAGTTGTTTCAGATGGACCCTATCGACGCCCTCCCAGCCTCGTAGTTTCGAGACGGAACTATGGCTTGTGGCGTCACAAGGCCCCCGTTTCAAGGGGAAATATCTATGAAAAAGACCATTTTTTTGTTGACTGTGTTACTTACCATCCTGTATAGCCATATTGTTTTCCTTTATCTTAACAGGCGAAGAGTTGGTGTGCTGAGTGCTTTTTCCCTCTGTTTGTCTCATATGATTTGATTTATTACTTCTTAATGCTTTTCTGTGCCCCGTCTTAGGTCCTTATTGTAGTTTTCTCCTTGTCCATCTCAAAACTCCGGTTCTTTGTTTGATTTGGCTAAAAATCCCGGGGGTCGGCCCTGGTCTGTCAACAAAGAAACCGAACACCTCTCGGAGTCTCTCGAACCTTGTTTATTAACTTACGACTGATTTCTTGCTGACTTACTAGATTCTGCGATCATTTATCGCCGTATTATCCAACCCTGCGTCAAAGAGACGCGTCTACTGCACTAAAGAAAACCCAACTCTGCTGCGCAGGAGCCCTGGACCCCATTGGTGACAAACATACAAGGATCTATAATTGGCATGGCAATGCCACCCCGCACCAACAAAGGAATCCTTTCTCGACTTCTTTCAGAAAACAGGGTCGTGGTCTCCATTCGAAAGTTAATGAATGCCACCTGCAAGAATATTTGTCGGGGCACAGCCCATTTGACCTATCATTCCCAGCAGATTCTCAAATATCGGTGAAACGAGATCTCTCGCTTCCAGTCGTTCAAGCTTGTGCTATCCAGCGTAATTGCTGTGTCTTGCGATTCGATCGAGTTGTCTTCTTCGGCGAATGAGACTTGGTCTTCAAGGTATTCGAGATGGAGTCTCCCGAGTCCCTGTGGTCTCTTGTCCCTCGAGACGATACTACTTGCACTGGGTCCAAGCTGTGGTATGTCTGCACAGCAGGCAGCTTTCGTGGATGCTGCGCAAGTGATCCATGTACGACGGGTATTTGTCCGGACGACGACGATGACACACTCTCATCGACCTCAGCTGGGGTGTCCAGCGTGACGACGAAAACCACCACTACGTCCCCTACGTCCACTTTGTCGGACCAAGCTACCGTCTCGTCGACAGCCTCTTCTATTACTTCAAATACATCAACAGGTTCGGAGACACCCATATCCTCAGTAACACAGGCGACTTCATCGCCACTTTTTACAAATTCTGACACATCCACGACTCCAGAACCTACAGGTGTTACTGCTAGCGCATCTCCATCCAGTACCTCATCCAATACCCCAGGTGCCACATCCTCAAACCTGGGCGCAATCATCGGCGGTGTTGTTGGAGGAGTTGCGGTCTTGGTCATATGTGCCATTCTGCTTTTCTGTTGCTGTCGCCGCAAGAGAAAACATGGGAAGCGCAAGGGCACAACTCTTGTCTCATGGTACAAAGATCGAGGCATTGCATCCGAAATGAAAGGCCCGCTATCGCCATCAGACAGCGAAGCACATAGTAAGCAGAAACACACCCCACGACTAACCAGCCTAGCCATTGAGGCAGCGTAACATATCACTAATACAAGCCATTACATCGATAGACTCATCGAGCGCGGCCTCCCCATTCACAGATAACACACGAAGCATAATCCTCACCCCAGACCTAGCACTAGAGTCCTCCGTCACAAGCCTCATCTCACACTCTCCCCGCAAAACACCCATCCCCCCAACCCAACCACACTCAAACGAGCTCTTCGCTTCAATCCCTCCCCGCCAGGGATTCACCCCCGAGCTACCAGACACAGGCTTCCACCGCCAACGCGCCGAACTAGCCTCGCATGCCCAGAGCGAGCTAATCAACGTACCCCTCCAACAACGCCAGCCACAGCAGCCCAATACCAACTCATGGACTACTCCACGGGCCTGGGAATCGCCCGCCTTGGCCTCTATACCCAGTTCACGCGCAAGCCCAGCACGAGCAGCCGACACCGGCAGCGGCCACAGCCACAGCCACAACAACAGCACTGGCGGTAGTCCGGGGCGAAACCAGGCTGGACGGGTCGTCACCGCCGAGGGGGTTGTCCTAGGCGCGAATCTGGACCGATACTCTAATGGTATGGAAATTGGGGAGTCTGGGTCCCAGGCGCTGGGCGAAAGGGGGAGAACGGCTGAGCGCGGTGGGACGGATCATGTTATGAGTTTTATGCAGTATGCTGGGGATCGGGGAGGGACTGGGCTGGGAATCGAAACTGGTGGCCTTGCTTCTAATCCCCAGGGAGGTGGGAGCAGTGCGTCTAGGCCTGCCGAGCGCAGTTTGGAAGATGATATTGTGGCTGCCGAGGGTCATGTTGATGTCCCGCCTGCTTATGAGGCGGCACAGGGCGCTCCTGGACATGATATTAAGTCTCCGTCTGGAAGGATGGGTATGAGCCCGAGAGGAGGTGTTTGAGGGGTCGATCTTGATTTTCGGGGTTATGTTAGGGTAGGAGTCCCGGCTTAATGGGTTGAGATTTGAACGGTCTGGTATGTTGTATGATATCCTTCCTTTATTAGCAGCATATAATTTCACTCTTTTATTTTAGACACCCAAACAAGTCAATTCATATATTCATTTTAGTCTAACCAAAAGCCTAACATTTATTTTCTGTCATATATCGGACCAAAAGATTCTACAGTAAATTCTTCAGCACGGCAGTCTGCTCGAGAACCGCGCGCTTGCTAGTTCCGCCAATGGCATCCTTCAGCTCAACGGCACGCTCGTAGTCAAGGCAAGTCTGGACATCCGCGTCGAAGCGGGCGTCGACTTCCTGGAGCTGCGCCAGAGAGAGTGTGTCCATGGGGACATTAGTGTTCTCAGCCAGGGCAACGACACGGCCGGAAATGTGGTGTCCCTCGCGGAAAGGCACGCCCTTGCGGACAAGGTAGTCGGCAATTTCGGTAGCCAGCATCTCCGGGGCCAGGGCGGCGATCATCTTCTCCGGGATGACGGTGAGCGTGGAGAGCACACCTGTTGCGATCTGGATGCTGTCGCTGACAGTCTTGACGTGGTCGAGCATGGGCTCAACGCTCTCCTGCAGATCCTTGTTGTAGGTAGTAGGCAGGCCCTTGATTGTGCACATCAGGCCGGCCATCTGGCCGAAGGTACGGCCGGACTTACCGCGGAGCAGCTCCAGGCTGTCTAATGGGGAAAATGTTAGTATTCTGCTTCATAGTACATAAATGAACTCAAACTTGCCTGCATTCTTCTTCTGGGGCATGAGCGACGATCCAGTAGAGTAAGCATCCGACAGACGGACGAAGCCGAACTCCAGACTGCTGTAGATGATCAGATCCTCAGCCCAGCGGGAGATCTTGAGCATGAATGAGCTACCCCACTGCATAGTCTCCATGGCGAAATCGCGGTCCGCAACCGCGTTCATGGAGTTGTACAGCAAGCCATCGAAGCCAAGCTCCTTGGCCATAGCCTCGCGATCAATGTTGAAGCAGTTACCGGCAAGGGCACCGGTACCGAGGGGGCTCTTATTGACGCGACGGATCACCTCGCGGAGACGCTCCAACTCGCTAGCAAAGGCGGTGGCATGCGACAGGATCCAGTGGGACCAGCGGACAGGCTGGGCCTTCTGCAGGTGGGTGTAGCCGGGCATGAGATAGGCGATATCGTTCTCAGCGCGAGCAATGGAGACCTTGATCAGATTGATCAGGTGGGCCTCGATCACGCGGAGCTCGTCGCGGAGCCACAGGCGCATGTCCGTGGCGATCTGCTCGTTACGCGACCGACCGGTGTGCAGCTTGCCGCCGATATCCTTGCCGATGATCTCGCCCAGACGGCGCTCATTGGCGGTGTGGATGTCCTCGTCGTTCTCCTTGGCCACGAATGTGTTTGTTTGCCATTCCTCGGCGACTTGCTTGAAACCACGCTCGATCTCGGCGAACTCTTGCGGTGTGAGGATGCCGGACTTGGTGTTGGCGCGGGCAAAGGCAATTGAGCCGGCGATGTCTTGCTTCCAGAACACGCGGTCGTAGGGGAGGGACGTGTTGTACTGCACCATGAGGGGATCGAGGCCCTCTGTTTTTTGTATGAGTCAGTGGGCTTTTTTGGTGGGATGGAGGGGTTGTTCTACTCACGGGTGAAGCGGCCTCCCCAGAGCATGTTCTCAGCGACGCCTTTGGGATTACTCATTTTGGAAGAACGGAGATTGGTCAATGGCTTGGAAATGAAGAAAATAGAGAAATTCGAAGTGAAGTTCCCCCGTGTATCTCGTGGAATCACCCGATCATCCACTAAGCCTAATTGGGAATATCTGGGGACGATGGAGATAGGTGAGTCGACGTTCAGTATTTGCAACATAACTATGTAGCTTTGTATGATATTTAGGGCTTTATCTAGAATCAATTCACACGTAGATATCAGAGAATTAGAACTACTTCTGAATTTGACACCGATTGTAAAACCCGACAGCTATCTCTGCGTAGATAAGTGTAAATATATGTAACCTCATTTCCATCATTCGTGATATATATCTTCCGCTCATATAGACAAACCCAAGATGAAAACGCTAATCAAGCAACTCAATGACAGTCCAAGTGACAGTAGTCAGAACCTGACCCCCAATCTTCTCCATAACCCTCCGACTCGCATGATTATACCCAGCTACATCAGTATGCGCCCAAGCCCCAACACATTCTCGAGTGTAACTATCCTCCAAGTCAACACTCTCAGCCCCAAAAAGCCCATCTACTGCCATCCCACGACGCATAACAGCTTTAGACAATGAAGCCGCAAGACCGCGACCGCGATGCTCGGGTTCAACATGCAACGTCGCTAGCGCTCCGTCCACACCCAAGAATCCCCACGCAATAGGCATTTCATCAACATCACTAGAGCCATCAAAATAAACCGCCATACCGGGCATTGTAGATAGCTGCGACCTCGGCCTGGGGATATGCGTCCGACTCTGCACAAGATCTAGATGCTTACTCAGAACACCCTCCCTCCCCTGTCGGTCATGGAACCTATACCCGGCTGGGAGGGACAGATCGGCGCACGGCAGATCTGCATCGGGGCTGAACTCTGATCTCCGGAAGAAGTACTTGTAATAAGGCGGATCGTCGAAGCGATGGACCCGGATACAGGGTATCGGGTCAGATTGGGTGTACGAGCCTGATCGCTGCAGGAGACAGAATAGACCTGTATGAAGGGCACCGATGAGGAAGGCGTGTGGGTCTGGTGCGGCAATCAGGGGAACACTACTAGTACTATTGGTAGTGGGAGTGGTGTTTGGGGTCACCAGGGACGTCGACACGGGAGGAGAGTCAGCCTCCGCAGATGTGGCTTGCAAATATGACAGATAGGATGGCAGCAGGTTGGTCTTGACATATGACAGCAAATCCAATAGCTGGGCGCGGGCCAAGGCTAGGACGGGCGGGTTGGCGGAAAAGGTGGAAACAATGGACTTGATGGTGTTGGTGTCAGGGTTGGCGCCGACATCATTACCATTTTTGGTTCGGCTATTATTGGATCCAGAGTCCACATTTAATACCTCCGGTTTCGTGGCTTTGATACTATCGCCGACAGTGGCGATCGGCGGAATTGACGTGTGCTCCGCTTCGAGACTGGAGTAGATGAACATTTGTGTTGTGCGGCCGGCAAAGAGATCCACCCGCGCAGCCAGCCACGGCTGTCCAGGCTCAGGGGCTAAACCGGGTGGAAAAGTCGCCAGGATGTGGGCAGTCTCGTGCGGATACCCAATTCCATGCTGGATTCGCCGGAGCAACGTGGTGGAATACGGCAGTTCAGATATGAGGGCTGGGATTATTGTGGCTGCATCATGCTCGTAGATGCATGTCGATGCCATTGCGAGGTACCAGGTACCCGGGAACCTGGATTCAATAGATCTCTACTCCGTACACGAGTTGAAGCGAACTTGCAGAAGAGACTATCCTCGATTCGATCGCAAAGTGACAGGTTGACACCTGACATGACGGTGAGTCAGAGGTGGATAGCCCTAACTGAGTCTGGTTAGTTACATATCAGAATATTCTTTTGTAAAATCACGGACGTCCGGAGTATGTAGAATTTTATTAAATTAATATTTGGGATCTCCGAGTTTAAAAGTATTTGTCACTCTGGTCTGTGCCTGTGGCGGTGCACTATCGATTATGACGCAGGACCATCTCGTCAACTCTAATGTCTGCACTTTATTTACTTTATTTTTGACATGCTTATGATGATCTGCATTGTTATGGGGAAGACTATCCCTACGGAGTATGGCATGGAAAATGGAGAAAAAAAAGTACCTTTGTCATTATACTCAGTGAATTGGGCCACATCACACTATGTAATTTTTTTTGGGCACGAGGGACATAAGAAAAAAAACGAAAAGAGAAGAATAGGAAATTCGTGCCTCATGATCGCGCTATCCTACCAGGGACTGCGCGCTCCAACCATCCAATCTTCCATTGCCAGCCATTCACTCCACCGCGCCTCGGCCACTCGAATTTCATCCTCTGAGGGGTCACGCAGGGGCCTCAAGAAGGGAGTTTCTTCATCTGGAGAAATGTCGTAGGCGGTCTTGGTAGCTGCCCACCCACTGCTTTTTGCCGTGAACATATAGTTCACCCGTTCTTGCTTGTAGATACAGCCCACACCAGCCTCCCAATCACCACCGAAGAAGCCTTGCATAACACTCGGTGAGTCTTGCGCGGTGACAATCAATCGTCGGATATAGGGTCGCAGCGAAATAAAGGGCAATGACGTGGTTTCCACCGGTGCGCTGGACTCAGGTCGCTGACAGGGTAGTCGAATATTGATGAACGCGGCAATGGATTGCACTTGGGGTGTATGCTGGCTGTAGTCGACGAAATGTTGAACACAATTCTTATAGTGGGGGAACCAGCCCGTATGGTCCACGCGACCAAACTCGGCATCGCTCAACATGGACTGCGTCTCTGGGTTCATTCCCTCGTCGTGGGAGCGTTCGCACCTATCGGGGATGCGTTCAGCGTCTCGTTCGACGGATCCTGGAACAAAGGCAAAAGGTCTCAGAATATGGGTCATGGTGTAACCGGCGCAATGGGCACGACCGGGGTAGGGGAGGTGAAGAGAAAAAAGGAACTCACTTTGAGCGGGTTGTTCGCGAGAGTAAGGGTCGCGCATGTCGATATGATGAGAGTTTTCCCAGCACTCTCTTCCAGAACCCTGCATTCTCAGTGACATGTTCGACAGTCGACATGTGTTGATATAAGATGCGCAAAGAGGAAGACTTCAAACGAAAGGTGGATTTAGACTGGCGGAATAGTTCATGATTCTGGGGGAGACGAATGCCTTATAGCTCCGCGACCCAGCGGACGGGGAAGACCGAGCCATTAAGGGTGCCCAAAATCGATAAGTTGTGAAGATCAAGGGCGGACTAGTTCGGGTTTCCGAGGTGAAGCAGGGTGGAGTGGATCTGGGAAGCTATCGAACAAAAACCAAGCTTGAGCCACAGATGTGGTCACTAGCCACGGTGAGCCACGGTTTGAGCCACGGTGAGACCGACGATGTGGCTCGTCAGCTTGTCCACAAATAGCAAGGGGTGTGTGGCTGTGTCCCGAACCGACAATGGAATTGTCCGCTAGGCCCGAATAGGCAGTTCGCAAGGCCGATCTAGAGCTGTTCTGGCGTAGCGTTATCAATAGTGCAATATATTCGGGGCTAGTCGCACTATCTCGCCCTGGATCACCTTGAAAATGATTTGGAAACCTTACAACTAGCGGAAGATCAGTGATCTCATTAGTCTTTTAATATGCTCGCTTAGAGATTGTCTTTGGCCCACTTCTGCTTAGAATGAAATCATCTTGACATTATACAATATAGGAAACAGGTAGAAATCCGGATCGGGTCGGGGGATGGATCTCATATCACATTTCACATTTCGGATTCGATGGTATTTGCTCCCCCCCGCTGGACCACATGTTCATGAGAATAAGAGTAAAACCAAAACGTGGAAGCGAACAGAGGAATATGCAAGGGGGCAGCAACGTAGAACGAGGATGCCACGATTCATGGTCTGCAGGGATCCTGCAAACTGGAATCCTCGTATCCCGACTTTCCCACATCGGGGACTCCGATCGGCCCTAACGCTTAGACTTCTTCGTGGCAGCCAATGAAAAGGTTTCATTTACGTTTCGGTGGAGACCATGCAATCCCGAGTTCCCGGGAGTAACCAAATCCTATCTATGAAAACAAACTAGGCGATTAGATGCGGATCTTGACGTCTTAATTTCCCCCGCTTCCAAATTTTGCTGCGGCTGAGCATTTCCGATACATTTAAATGCAGCCTGCGTCGCTTCTGGTGAGACCTGCATCTCAACATTCAGATTTGAACTAGGTCTCGTCATCTTGCATTGAGATATCACACACAACACCAACACTATGAGTTATAAAACCAACTATGAGCTCTACGTGAGTAAGATCCATTCTTACTTCTACCAACCAATCTAACATATACATTCCAGTCTCGTGGAAGCATCGATAGCAGACGGTCACCACCACCATCAGATGAGCTTCTCTCACCGTTAGCAACGCTCTACCCGCATGTTGCCGCCCTGCAGCCACAGTACAATCCCAGCAACTGCACCTTCACCGGTTACCGAGAAACGGGATATTGGGCTGCAGCCTACACTACACAGCCTGTGGATGATTCCTCGATATCCATGCGTCGCACTGGTAAGCTTTATCCTGTCTTTTCTTCTTCGGTCGCATTTAGTTCTAACATTCCCCAGATGGAAGACCATGTCGATTTGTTTCTAAAATACGCCGACTCCTCAGTCGAGACGATTTAAAATATCGTCGAGGGTCGAGGGCGACGGCACGAACTGCATAAACTGCATCTTTCCTTTTTTCATCTCGGTGATTTACTTCAAGCACACACACGACCAACGATTCACTTCTCGACATCTTATTCTCTCTTATACGAGGCTACTCTTTTGAGCCACATTCAGCACCAAGGCTTTAGCGAGCATGGCTTCGCATCCATTTCTTTTTTCTTTTCATTTGTTTGATTTTCATTCTCAGAGGCGCATCTTTCCCTCTCGTGTTTTTGGCAAGCGACATCATAGCGGGGAGTTCTTTGGCACACATTGGCCACAAGCCTAACTTGGAGGCTATCATATTTTCTATTCTTGTTACTTCATTTTCTGAATATGTTTTATGTCAATGTATATAAAGGCAGATTTTGCCTACAACATACAATATCAAAGGACCAATCACAGTCCACTTTTTACCGAATATGTCCACTTTAGCTTTTGAGAAAATCAGACGTTGCACGGAGATCGCCGTATAATCCTAAATATCGGTCAAGGTCGTTCGGTTGAAAACCCACGTTTTCAATCCAGAGACCCCCATTCTCCACTATCAGGCCCATTCAGGCAGTTACCAAGAAAAGCCACATGTCAGCCTGGGAAGCAAGGCACTAACGCAATGACGACATGACCAGCATAGTATGTATTTGCTTTTTCTAGAACGATAGCCTCATGGTTCATTCCCAATCCCACAGTAGCACTCGTGACCCCTGCAGTCTAGTCCCAGGGACAGGAACAGATCGAGGGTGTAACCACGCCTCACTCCGATCACTTGCATCAGGTCCTAGTATGCGCCGATCCCTTCAACATTAATTATCACCTTAGCTAATGATCGGCGAGCTCCACACACATATGGAGTTTTAGCCTCACTATAATCACAGCCCTGGAGCCTTGGAATTGGACGATGATGATTATTGATTATATTCGCATGGGTCTAGGTCAATGGTGATGTGATATAATCGTACGTATCAGATATTGCAATTCAATAGCTTAAGCTCAGACACGAGATGCTGCCTGCAGAACCGTATACAAAGTTTCAGGGGTGATACAACCTATGCTTTATTGCCAGGAATGGAAACTCAGGACCGGACGTTTCAAGACTAAGGGCCGACCCGTGACGATCATATGGTTGACCCATCCATCCTCCCCACAGTATTTGAAATATCGTACCTAACGCCTGCTTTTTGGGTGGTTCTTATGTTACATAGTCTTTAGATTTGGGGTGTAACGTTGCGCTGTGGGCATTGGCTATCTCCTCTTCCACATTTGCTTTTGTTCATGATTATCTTGCGCTAGGGGCGGCAGACAGAATACTGCATTGCGTCAAGATGAGAGTAAATACGACTAACTATATCCTTGTTGTTTGAAGGACTTGAATGAAAAATATGCTAGGACAAAGGCCATTGAAGTCATGGATTATTGAAACAAGCTCATAGAGCAGGGGTTGGTATTCCTCGACTGTTCTATGGCAAGGAGAAGATACTCGATCTGCAATACGGTTCCTGATGCAAGGGGCAAGGAAGGATCGTCGATCATCCTCGGGTGATTGCCACGAGATCAGAATAATAAAATAATAAAGTTCTAGATCGAACTCATTGCCCAATGACGTTGTTGTCGCAAATAATGGTTCGTTGCAGATGTTTAAGATTGCACGATCCCTGCGCCACAGTTCCTTCAACTATGCTATCAAAGTAAATAGTCGGGTCTTCGCGCTAGAAGGATCCGAGAGCGAAACAATAGATAGGAAACCAATTCTATGCACCTATCTTAATCATACCCCTTTTCGCATCTCTTTTTTGGTCCAGGAAGAACTCATGAGATACCCATCATGTAACGCAGCATGACCAGACTAGTATGTGCCATATGAATCAAAGCCAACTCTGCTGTACAGAAACATAAATGTCATGATTTGCTTTTATTGCTACCTCCTCAAGTCCCGGGCTATTTTAAGAATACAAATTACGATTGCTGAAACGACACAAATTTTAAACAAAGGCCAAAACTGCGGTAACGAGTCATAACTATCAAACCATGTTAGCTACTGACTAGCTGATCAACTGGATACAACTTTTACCTCTCACGATGAGAACTCGGCAGAAATCCAGCCTCACGCTCTGCTTCCAGTCTCAGAGACTCAGACCCATCCTCTCTCCAGTCTATTGTTGTTTCGTGGAGCCCGGGTATTGCGTCATGATCTTCGTCTTCGGATCTCCGGGGAAGAACGGTTACTGACGCTGCATCGTGGATCGGCGGCTGTTGTATAGTATTCTTAATTGTCTGAATCGTAGATCCGAGGGTGTTGTCCAGCCCGGAAATTTGCGGCCGAATGCCTATAGTCGCGCTTGTAGCTAGCAAGCCGAGAAGGAGTACGCAGATCGTGGTAAATAACGGTTGAAAGAGCATTATGTTCTGCGGTCAAACAGGGGGCCCGTGGAAGGATTTGATTTTTGATTCTTGAAGTCCAGCTTGCGATGGATAAGTACCTACGTCCGAGGAAACGGGTGTCGGTTGGTTATATGTTGCTTTCCAAGGTTATTTTGAGTTTTGGTCTAGCTTAGATGTACGTTTGATGGGCCATGAGGAGGCCCTCTTGGCGCTTATTGGAGGATCACGTTATGCCGGGGCTGAGCGGCCTTGGCACGGGGAGTTAAGCCTCTGTATCTTCATATCTCCGAGTCATCACGGATTAACAGCATCGGAAACTTGCTTCACGAGGTGGTGATATTGGAAGGATTAGGAAGTTCGGATTTACGGAGTTGACTTCTAAGACTTGCCTTATGTCATACCTCCACTTGCCAAGAGGCATTGTCTAGGATGTTTCTTGGAAGTACCTCTGTCACCTTGTACCCTACAATGAACTATGCTAGCTACAAAGCCTGGAGACTGATCAGTCCTCAATCCAGCTAGAGCGGAGGTGATGTAAGCTGCTGACACGCCGAATCCACCGGGTAGGCGTAAGCATGTCACACCATCGAGTCAAAACTACCTTAATTTCCCCCGGAGATAAGAATACATGTACATAGCACTTGGAAAGTATTTCGGGCTTGAGTTGATTGTCGAATTTACAGCCTGAGCTAATCAGAGTCGCAACTATGGATCCATTGCGCGGCTATTGTCGTCCGCACTTGGCAATGGACTAAGTCCAATTCAAATACGGAGTAGTTAGTTACCATTAGGCTAAAACGCTGGATGTCTGGCTGTCAAGATAATTGTGGACATAGAGATACGTCACATTAGAGATACATCTTCCGTGAACTCACTTCTATCACTACGGAGACTTGGAAAAGTTGGTAGAGCTGCTATCCGCGTAATCCGGTTTCATGTTATCTAAGATGGGTACATATCTCCAGTAAATGGTCTACATTTTTACAGACTACAAGAACAGTCCTGACTTTCATGGGATTCAATGGAAACAACGTGTCCTATGCTCTATCCGAGACTCGCGAATGGATGCCAACACGAATGCCCCGATGCTCCTGATGTAGAATAATGACGAAACGGCACTGATGACGCCGACTGTACAGGAAAGAAAGAAAACCAACAGAAACCAAGGCTGGACCTTATGAGGCCGTACAAACAGACAAGCTCAGACAGCATCAACTGTTCTGAACATGTATGAAGACCAATGCGCAGAACCAAGACGTCCAGCCTACACCTCCTGGATGTAGTTCGCCGGCACGCTCTTCGTAACACCACCCCGTTCGACGTCAGCCCATCCATCACCACTATCCCGGTTGATAAGAACAAAGCGGTCACCCTCTAACATATTCCACTCCATATCGCTGCGAGCTTCGTACTCATACAGTGCCTCGACGTATTGCAATTTCTTGGCTCCTCGTCTGGGCGCGACGGCTGGTCCTACACGCTTGGGTGCGGCGCTTCCAGCCAGGGATGATGAGGAATTAGAGTACGTTGACCCAGGTCGCTCAGGCATGCTGGGACTAGCGGACGGCACAGGGGATGGTGTTGGGGCGGCTTCGACATATGCGGCCGGGACAAGTCCTTCATTGGCTCCTGAGCGCACACGCAGCCATCCAGAACCATCTGTGAAATTGTCAGTAAATACGGGTGTAAACGGTAGGACAAGACGTACCATCTGGTTGGAGGATCACCACTTCGTCCCCATCTTCCACGCTGACCTCATCTGAGCCGCCGGCTTGATATGCGTATAGCATCTTACCTCGTGGCTCTTTGGGCTTCGAGCCCAAGTCGCTCGGCGGAGGTGCAGTCATGTATGCTGTCGGAGGTGGTGCTAGCACCCGGTTCCTCTTTGCTGCGACAGTTGGCTTTGGCTTTGCCTCCGCAACAAGAGCCGGGGGATCCTCTGGGCTTTCTGCTGTGGACTGGGTAGCAATGTTCGATATCGAGCGAGTCGTACTGGCCGCATATCCCGAGCTAAGAGAGTTCATTGTATTCTGTCGCGTCAGGGACGGGGTTGTAGTGGAAGCTGTAGGGGTGCCGACATCCACAACAGGTATGGCACCAGCCTGTTCCTGTCGCAAGGCTTTGAGTTTCTTCTTCTCTTCCTTGCTTTGCTCGCCCGGGCACTCCGCAGGCACCTTCATTTGACATTTACTATGGCAGGTGTAGCCACAATCTCTGCAATCAAAGCCCTTCGCGGACAGGCCCCAGATTCGCTCGCCACAAAGATCGCAATTGGTTGGGATCTTGAATGTCTGAGAGCGGAAATTGTGGTTCTGGGCCCCCAATGACAAATCTCCAGCCACTGCAATGATAGTTGCCGTTTCTACCTCGGCTGTGACCCATTTGCAATCAACCTCGTGCAAGGATTCTTGAATGAAGAAAATGGACCGCACGACATCTAACTCGTTTCGATTATCTTTGCCTTGTTGAATATTTTCCCGTATTTTCTTGCTTCCTTCGACCTCGCGCTTCTTCCGGTCTGACTCAACTCGTAGTTCGCGGATTTGAGTTTTGCTTTTACTCAGGACGTTGCGCAGGAAGACCTTGGCTGGCTCATCGGCGATGATTGCAGCATCGTCGTGCCATACTGGACTCGGCTCAAATTCTAGGTTTGGAGGTTCTTGTGATTGAGTCACATTGTGCTGGAGGAACATCAAGGAGTCCAGACGAGGATTGTTGCGAGGAATTTCGACAAGAAGATTAGCCATGTGCTGCGTGCTATTTGTAAGAGATGACTTTTCAAGCTGGGCGGCGAGCGACCACATCAAGTTCATTTTTGCGACTCGTGTTTCATTGAGATTTTGTAAACCCTGAACGGATGTATGAGTACCATTGTCGGTCCTAGATAGGAGAGGGGAGTGACGGATTCATCTTACATCGATCACTTCAGGGACATATTCATGGTAAAACTTCTCCTTGAGCTTATTGGTCACATTGATGCCGATGAGATAGAGGTTCTACCGCAAGTTAGCATTAGGACACGCGCCTCCAGTTGAATGAGCCATGCCTTATAGTTGTTCATCTCCAGTATTTGTTGTTGATATGCTGCTTGTGCTTTGCCCTTGCCATGATCAAAAGCGGTCTCCATTTTCTTTCTGCGAGATTCAACCTCCTGGCATGCGCCATCGTATTTGCCCTTCGCTTTTTTGAGATCACCGTATGCTGCCTCCCGTTCCTTTTCTAACTTGCCATGGTATTCAACATGGCATTTGCGAATCTCTTCATATTGGGTGGCAGCTTGTTTCAGAGGATCCGCCACCTGCACTACCAATTCTTGGGCAAACTTGTCTCGTTCGGCGGCGTGAGCTTCCACGGCGTTCAATTGTGTAGTCCATGTAGTGAGCGATGCGCTTTCGAGGGAGCCGGGAGTCAAGGTGGGTGTATCTCCTACACTCAAGGGACTGATCTTCTTCGACTTGCGGTCATAGTACTTCTTGCACAGGGCCGTTAACTTGGATGCGTATTCCTTCTCAATGGCACTGCGCTCGCGGTAGAATTGGTGTATCTCGTCCACCCATGATATACCATTCGATACCTGTGCAACATGTTTGCATTAGCTCCACTGTAAGCGCATGATCTGGGTCGGTTGCGGGGAAACGATGTAGGGACCATACCCAACTGTTAACTGGTTTGAAGGAATCCTAGATAAATTGACTTAGTTAGTTATGCATCTGCAAAATCCCCATCCAGTATCGATACCTTTAACTCTGCTCCGAAATGCGGAGCTACGTCTGCGGCCGCCATGGCTTGATTGAGATTCCAAGGCAGACGCGCATGGGATAGCGCGGGAATGGGAGACCGAACAATGAGACGGAGTTTCCGGTTACCAGCGATGCTTGTGAATGAGCCACTTGTCTTAGTATCAACCAAGTAGTTTATGTCTCCAATTAGGCTGTGTTCAATGGGGCTATTGAGGCCATTCAGATAGGAAGAATGACCTCAATGGCCAAGGCGGGAGAAGACCGGTCCCTGTGACAATACTAAACATACACGTTGTTGGTAGTTAGTATGTGTCCTGCCCATCTATTACAATAGTTTACAATACCAGTACATATATTTCACTTTGACTCAATTCGGACTAGTTGCTTTATTCGGCGTCATCTGTTTTTGCTTCCATTCAGAGAGAGCTCTTGTACTCTGGCGACGTGCTTGGGTTTTTGATTCTCTCCCCTTCTGAGTCCCAAACGCATCATTAGCTGTGACCATCTTAACCCCAATCGCGGGCTCAGCCATCTTATTTCATTTCGAACTTTTCTTTACCCCACGACCACCCCTCCACCTTTCCTTCTCCAACTCTTTCTTGAGATACCCACGAAACTTTTGCACAATGTCTGAGAATCCAGAGACTGCCCCTGCTGCAGGCTCCTTGGCTGACCGTGTCACCAAGCCTGACGAGTCGATTCCCACCGGTACGAGACGAGACCACGCCACCGTCGCTGTTCCTCCAGTCCACACGACCGGAAAACGCGCTACCCCGGCTGATAGCTAATATCCTCTTTGCTTTCACAGATCCCTCCAATGTCTCCACCATTCCTAAGGAGGATGGCGCCTCTGGCCCCGCGCAGGGCTCGGCAGATCTCGAGGAGCCTGACTACACCGTCGCGGTGAAATTGAGTGACTTACAAGCGGACCCCAACAACCCCCTGTTCTCGGTCAAAAGCTTTGAAGATCTAGGCCTGCAAGTGCTACCCACTGATACGCGTCCAAATGAGAGTCTCACAGCTAACCTGATTGACACTCCAGGGATGCGCGCATTCTGAAAGGTCTCTCCACCATGAACTTCCGCAAGCCGTCCAAGGTCCAGGAGCGTGCTCTTCCCCTTCTGATGAGCAATCCTCCGAAGAATTTGGTTGGTCAGTCGCAGTCTGGTACCGGTAAAACCGCAGCCTTTGTCCTCAACATTCTTAGTCGTCTTGACCTCTCAACGGAGCAGTCGCAGATAACACCCCAGGCTCTAATCCTCGCTCCTACCCGTGAATTGGCCCGCCAGATTGTCGGAGTGATCCAGATTATGGGTCAATTCCTTGAAGGCCTCATCATCGGAACTGCTGTTCCTGCCGATTCTAATGCTCGCCCGACGAAGATGGATTGTTCGGTTGTGGTTGGCACACCTGGTACTGTTCAGGATATGATCAAGAAGCGTATCATGAACCCTACCGGTTTGAAGGTGCTTGTCCTGGATGAGGCGGATAACATGCTTGACCAGCAAGGCCTGGGAGACCAGTGTATCCGGGCCAAGGCGTAAGTACTAACCCCACCACTCAAAGTACCGGGCTAATAGTTCGCCTGAATAGGATGCTTCCCCGAAATGTTCAAATTGTCCTGTTCTCGGCGACCTTCCCAGCTCATGTCTACCGCTATGCGGGCAAGTTTGCTCCTGCCGCCAACGAGATTACCCTCCAACACGAGGAGTTGACTGTTGAGGGCATCAAACAACTCTACATGGATTGCAGCACTGATGAGGAAAAGTATCAGAATCTCGTTCAGCTTTACGGACTGCTCACTGTCGGATCCTCAATCATTTTCGTTCGGGTAAGTATTATCTCAGATTAAGATTGGAATATTGCTGATTGTTGTCTAGACCCGTGCCTCTGCCGTTGAGATCGAGAAGCGTATGGTTGCTGAGGGCCACACTGTGGCCTCGCTGACTGGTGGTGTCGAGGGATCCCAGCGTGACGCGGTGATTGATTCCTTCCGCAGCGGTGAAGCTAAGGTTCTCATCACAACCAATGTTCTCGCTCGTGGAATCGATGTCTCTACAGTTTCCTTGGTCGTCAACTACGTGAGTTCATTGTTAGTTCGCTTTCAAGTCCAAACTAACCATTCTTGCACTCAGGATATCCCCGAGGAGTACTCTGGCGGCCAGCGCACCAACACACCCGACTACCAGACCTATCTGCACCGTATCGGTCGTACTGGTCGCTTTGGTCGCATTGGCGTGGCAATCTCATTTGTTTCCAACCGGAACGAGTGGGAGATGCTTCGCAAGATCCAAGAGCACTTCCAGTGCACCATCGACCGCATTGATACTAGCGACTGGGATGAAGTGGAGGAGATGATTAAGAAGACTATCAAGAATACCCGAGCTCAGGCCAACTTCGCCCAAGGTAACTAAGTGTACGAAACGGGTGTCGGTGTCGGTGTCGATGTCATACAACATACATTGACCCCTTCCTTCAATCTTAATTTTCTGGCGAATGATTTCACGTTTCATGCTTTGGAGAGTAACGAAATCTCTTCTTTTTTCGCGGGTCAATGGGGCGAGAGGAAATTAGATACCTATTTGCGCGCATGGTGCCCCTGCAGCCCATTCTCCTGGCCTTCATTTGCCAGATATGCCAAAAGCGGCTGGCTTCGAATCAAGGAAGTCGATTGTTGTTAAAAAACCACGATTTCTTTTTCCTTTCAACCTCTTTGTAGATTGTCTCCTTTTCTTTTTTTCGGCACCTATTAATCTTTCGTGTATTCAGATTCCCTCGCATCTTCCTCGTCCTGTCATGGAACCGGTTCTGCTTAGTCCATGGAGACCTCGGGGTTTAGCAATAATGTCAACGTAACAATTGACGCGATGTTGAAACACGATCGATCACCCGGCTATCGCCATGACCAACATTACCTACAACAACTTAGACCCCAGCTGCAGTTCCTCGGGCTCCATCGCATTCGTGAGGTAAGTCGGCGGCTCAGTAGTACTGTTGCTCAGACAGACGTCATTACACAAGTGGAATTCACCTTTGAGCCTATGTCTGTCTTTTCTCTGGCTCAGTCTCTTGCTAATCATTAACTTGATTGAGAGTTCATGTTCCGTGGGGATCTTACTACATCTCTACTCCGTCCCCAGTGCGTGAGGAGCATATAGCCCAACCCAAGACGGTGGCAGTGAGTGAGACCGAGAAGATCTGACGATGTTGATGAGTACCCCTTGAGGTAAATTCACAGAGGCAGATCTATATTCTGAAATCTCTATCCAAAAAGCACTTCCGTCACGACTATATACACGGATCGCCCCTAAAACAACCACTGATTAAACGCAACCCCAAAATCCATGTTATTGAACAAATCCAGGCCATCAACCTCAATCATCGGATCAAAATCAAAAGCAGAACTATCCCCAAGATTCGAGTCCGGAAGAATTGACTGCGGCTCCAGAATCTCATCTATAATCCTAGAGAACAGCTGACTGGCCCGCTGAAAGAGAGCATAGTTGGCATTATCCGGCCGAACGATAGATTCAAGATGCGAGATGAAGACACTCAAATTGCGGATGAGTGCCGATCTCGACCCTTCGTAGAGGAATGGCTCGCCTGTGCGTTTTTGGTGCTGCAGGGCTTTGATGAGTAGACTGGCGCTGGGGAAACCGTAGAGTAGAACCTGCCATTCACTTAGTATTATGCGTAGAAGTGGCTTCTATTTCGTTAGTACTTACTGTCCACGCAAAATCCGGTCGGAGATCGATCATTTGTTCGCGTTGCATGCCTAATGTCAAGACCGTTGATAATATGTCAGCGCTCACGGAGAGCAGTGCTGTGTTTCCGCGCGGATTATTCTTCCCAGCAATGAGTCGCTGGATGAGGAAGTCGTTGTACAGGTATGCCAGATATGAAATAATCATCATGAGGCACACTGCTATGTGTAAATTTTGATCCCAACATTGCGGGCTGTAGCGTAGCCAACCAGGGAGCGAATCCCATGCTAGATGACATCGCTGCGAGATATTCCTGTATGGTCTCAGCTGCTGAACAACATTCCGGACGGAGGGATGATTTACTTGAGCATAATTTCCATCTCGGGTGTCACGTTCTGCAAAGAGACTTCGAGAATCTCGTCCCGAAATGTACTGATGATAAATCGCACTCGTATCCATGATGACCGCTGGACTACTCCGTGGATATTCCAGCCATTCTCATCAATGCAGTCGCGGGAGTAATCTATGATTGTTTTATCGGTAGCGAGTGCCTCGTCGCTGATATCAAGTGGCATGCGACAGTCGGCGTATCGCCATGGTATTCTTGGCGGTCGACCCAAGAATGTGGCGATACTCTTGTCGAGCTGATACGCTGCAGCGAACTGCCGTCTACGTGACTCCAAGAGGAACTCGGGTACATCGCTCGATGTCTTGGAGTCACGGTGGAGACCAAGTGCGAAGATGTCAGTTGAAAGCTCGCCTAGTCGTTTCCAACAGGCGGGACCTAAGAGGTGTTAGGAGAGGCAATGTGATGGATGGATTGGAGGATTTAACGAACTTGAGTCGCCATGTACTATATCCGACAACAGGAGAATCTCATGTACCAGCCATACTGTCAGGTCATTGAGCGGTGTGAGGATTTTGCAAATGTGCAGCGCGGCCTCGCTGGCTGCAAGCATCTTATGCGCATATTGGGACCGCGAGGTTCGGCCGTCATTGAACCTGTCACTCGCGAGCCCCAGATATCTTGCCCGACCAGCGAGAGCGCAGAGAAGCCCGATAATCTCCAGGCGGATCGCGGGCCCCGTAAATAGGGAGTGGAAGTCTCGGCCTTGTGTCGCGGACGGAACTTCGAAAATCTCAGATGTGTTTTGTATTATGCTCACTGTTAGTGAAGATGTGAAGTCGGTAAGATTACGGTCTGCTATGTTCTCTTTGCACATGGACTTGACCGGTTCAAGACTGTTGAGCACGAATGGCGCCGCTATAATCGCGCTTTGGCTTAGTGCATAATAATCACGGATTAGGGCCTCAACCGTGGCAAAGTCGTTGAGTGTTAATAGTACTTCGGAGATCTTGTGGACCCAGTAGGGTGGCAGGACTCTCTGGGCAGATTCAATCTCCAGGCCCAGACCCTGGCCCAATTCCACATCCTCGGTTAGGGGGGATACAAAGCTCGTGGGGCCGAAGTACCCAGAAAGCAGTGGTTGGGTACGGGCTATGCGCCCAGAAGAGCTCTCTTGTCCCGCATTAGACACGTCGGGGTTGAGTGATGTCTCGGTTGAATGTGGGTTCCTGGGAAACAGCAATTATAAGAGTCTGATATGTATATATTGATATCTATGGAGGTGAATTTGAGAGGTAATTGACCGCTGGGAACTCAATGATGTAGACCGCTTGAGAATGAGACAAAGAACTGAATTTACAATTGACACACCTTGCTGATGGAGGTCGATCAAAGGGGACCCCCTCTGCCAATGGGAAGATACGGCGACCCTTGGCCCTCGTCAGAGGAGCGGGATGATAGTAACATCGCATGGAGACCCCACGATCTCTACAGCGAGTACATACAGGTAATGCATGGTCGCAACGGACTTTGTCTCTCCGACACGGCTCGCAGGAGGCTGGTTTGCCATTGCGACGACGCGAGGTACTGCCGGTACACGTCGTTAGCGGGTGGCATTGAAATCAACGAAAGCATTTACCTCATGGGGAGATACAGGAAATCCTGCTTAATGTAAGGACTCCGTGGTCAAGGTAAACTGCAATCACCCAGGGAGTTTCGGTGTTCGCTAACTCCGGCCAGTTAGATCGAACGCCGAAGAACTCCGGTGGAAACCGGTGGAGACGCCGTATAGAAGCTAGGGAGATCGTTAGAACATGTATGTACACCATATACCGCCATTCGATTTGTACACGATACTACATGATAACCAAAGCCAAGACATTCAGACGTGCTATCTGAGACCGGTCGTCCCTTTGATTGTATGCAGATAAGCCCCTCAGATAACGTGAGGAGAAGATAAGTCACATGGCCGACTACTTCCCCTCCAGGTCTCTTTCCCCCTCTTTCTTCTCTTTGTAACCTCTCTATATCGCTTCATTCTTCTGGTCATCATCCAGGACCGTATATTCCCTTACCATGTTGAAAACAGAATCCGTCACCAATATCTTGCCCGTACAAATGGAACCATCTACAGCTCCCGCCGCTCCCGCCGCCCCCGCCGACCCCAATCCCCGATACAGCAACCATATTATCGTAAGGAAGATCAGATCTGTGCTGGCTTCAATGTTTTGGTATGATGCTGATATCAAGTATAGTTGACCACGTACCCAGGCCAGAGCGGCATTGAGCCCGTCCCTCTAGAGTGGGGCGCTCCCGACGCCAAATCCCGGGGTCCGGTAGTTGTATCCCGCAGTGGAAACCTCGTCAAGCGCCGCAATGCCATCGGCGCCCACGGTGGCAGTTACAGCGTATACAATGCTCTTGCCATTGCCGCTGGTGACTTGGATGCGGATTTCCGACCGGACTTCCGTAATTCTCAGCCGACTTTCAATTTCCCCCGCAGCCTGCCTGGGCGGATAAGAAAAAGATCGTCTCAATGGATCCTTACGGCCATGACATTGTCAACCAGTTCAAGGAAGAGCTGGAGGCTGGCTGGGATATCCGTCCAACGATGGCGGTCACTCGGGCTAACATGAAACTCGCGGAGATTGCCGATGACGTCAAGAATGGCCTGCTCGAGGTGGACGGGTCTGTCCTGGTTGATTCATCCGGCGAGGTCCGTGTCACTAAAGTAGCAGCTGAGCCTGTCTGGTATCTTCCCGGTGTGGCAGAGCGATTTGGGGTTGATGAAGGCACTCTTCGTCGGACTTTGTTCGAACATACCGGTGGGAGCTACCCTGAGCTTATCACTCGACCTGATCTGAAAACATTCCTGCCACCAATCGGAGGCCTTACCGTGTACATCTTCGGCCCACCAGAGCGGATCGCGGACCCGAATGTCAAACTGGCTCTGCGCGTCCACGATGAATGTAATGGCAGTGATGTCTTCCAGTCAGATATCTGTACCTGCCGACCATACTTGGCGTTCGGTATTCGCGAAGCAATCCGAGAGGCACAGAATGGTGGCAGTGGTGTAGTCATCTACTTCCGTAAGGAAGGTCGAGCTCTTGGAGAAGTTATTAAGTATCTTGTGTACAATGCGCGCAAGCGTGGAGGCGACACTGCGGATAAGTACTTCACTCGGACAGAGAACATTGCCGGTGTCCGCGACGTAAGTATCCTCATAATTTAACGTGGCTCACATATACTGACTCCCCCTGCAGATGCGATTCCAAGCTCTTATGCCCGACATTTTGCACTGGCTCGGCATCACGAAGATCGACCGCATGCTGTCAATGTCTAACATGAAGTACGACGCCATCGTGAACTCTGGCATCAATATTATCGAGCGCATCCCTATCCCCGATGAGATGATCCCTAGTGATTCAAGGGTCGAGATTGATGCCAAGATCCAATCAGGATACTTCACTACCGGCAAGCAGCTGACGGACGAAGAACTGACTCAAGTCCGTGGGCGTGGCTGGGAGAAATGGGAAGATATCTCGGTAAGTTGATTGTCTCTGGCACATTGTAGACTCGTGACTGACCGTCCCTGCAGCACTAACTTTGCATCGTGTTGCCTTGTCGAGGTTGAAGGTTGGACTCATTTCAGTCTCGGTATTGCTCTTTTGGTTAGTAATCTGGTTAGTGTGATATGTGCATGTCTGCACATTATCATAGAGTGCTCTGTCGCAAGATCATAAAGCATGAATCTATATTTTAAGAAATAAATTATGAAAGAGTGTTTGACTTGAAGTGATTGAGACAAGTAGCAGTAGCAAATCGCAAGGTACTCATTTTATGACATTCCTTCCTATATTTTAACGGATTGAAATCCGGTAGGACCTTGGTAGCCTGATCATCGGCCAGACGCCGATATAGAGTCTATCTCTTTATATCCCCCCGCGTGATATATTCGACCGAGGTGCATTATATCCGTGCTGGGCGATCAGTCACCAGGCTGATCCTCTCATCATGAGCAACTGACAAATGAGACTATTGCTGCCCTATTCTCCTTCTCAAAAGTGACATGAAACCGAAAATCCCTTCACTGTATACATAGTGCAATTTGGACATGATTTGTGCATCGCTCGATTAGAGCCAAGCAACGACGGAAGGTTTTTCCTTTCAGGCGAGCATTGTCTCAGTAGTTACTCGCCGCGTAACGATTGCAGCGTCGGTGGTCTGGGACAATGGGAAGGATCGCTGGTTCAAAGTAGAGAATATGATGGCAAATGGATCTCAGGGTTCCGAGACTCCATGGATTCCTTTGAGATGGCGAAATATGGACGTGAGCAGCACAGGTAGGGTTCGTAGAGATCTTGCACACTTAATCGAGAGCTCTGAACATGTGTCGGAGCTGGTCTCTCCAGGGGCTTTGAGCTTCGTAAAAAGGATTGGAGTAACAAGTTTCACTGACCCTGTCAGCTGCTGTCCTCTGATGAGCCGGTGGGTCACGAGTAGGATACCAGATTTCAGTTGTGTTGGATAGACCATGGTATATTTAGATCATAATTCACAGGCTTTGTATCTCAAGTGTGTAAGGGTGCAAAGCTCTGGGGAAGATGATGATGATGTATTGTAGTGCTAGCCAGTTCTGGTTCAAATGGCCCAAGGTCATATGACGTAGCCGACGACGGTCACAGAGGATGAGTGAGGACGGATGTATTTGTCCATAGGAACAGACAGCGTGAATGATATATAGAATACGGAATAGAGATGTAGGGCGACGAGGAGCGTTGAGGAACGACGGAGAAGTGTGATGGCGGAAAAAGAATCGAAGGAAATGAAGGACTGCAGCTTTCGTGAAAGAGCAGGCAGACAACAACGAGCCCTATGATCAACCAACCCTTACCACAAAAAGAGCCTAATAAAGCTCGGACAGGAGACTAATATAGCGATACTTATATACACTATAAAGTTATTGGAGGGGAGAAGAAGAAGCAGCAGCCCGAAGAGGAGAACAGTTGTTTATATAGTCCTCGCTGTCTCACGTCGTCAATGGGCAACGGCATAAGTCATACTTTGTTCAATACAACCAAGTAACATATTATTCTCTGCTCATCTGCGCCTACCTAGCCTCAATTTCCAAGTTCGTTGGTGACTCCTACTGTAATACAGAGATATAAGGTTTTCACATCGACGGGGCGGGCCGTACCGCTCAAAATGCACGGCAGTACTCTGTGGCTTGGGAATCCCTAAGGATAATCGAGGCGTGTGATACAAAAGTAACAAACATTCTATTGTGGCGCAGTCCCCTGGTAAATGGTATATAGCGGTCCCCTCCCCGCGTATCTTCATTTTTTTTTCTTTCTTCTTCAACATACACAGTTTGGGTGACTGTGATCAATAAGACAGGTCACCACAGGCTGGTCCCTGCATTGCACCGCGCGGCGGAACAGTTTGTTCAATGGAACTCATGTCATCGGCAGACGTATTATTTGGCACCTCCATTCGTGGAGAATATTTTCTTTTCATCAATCCTTGAGCCAGTGGCACAAGGTTGGAGAAGAGGATACTGTAGTTGATGTTTTGTCGTCGCGTATGTTTGTACATCAGTGATGCCATCAAGTCCTCAGCCTGTCTACCACTGTCTTTCTCGTGAAGTATTCAAACTTGTCCCTATTCCCAGTCCCTATTCTCAGTCCCCTCCCCATGTTGTTGACCCCGTTGAGAACTCTCTGGACCTTGGAACACGTGCAACTGAATTGATGAGACACCAATCCAGCTGGAAACCTGAAGGAAGATTATCTTGCAGTCCTATTTTGAATGCTATGCAAAACTCATCGGTATCGGCGGGTTTCGAGAAGACGAAGTTTCTCTGCTTTCCCCCTCCACTTTGCGACTTTCTTATTTTCTCCCCTCTCTTAACCTGAGTGCCAACCTATCAAACGTGCTTTTTTCATCCTTTATATCGACAGCACAGACGTCGATCCATTAAGGTGGAGAAGGGTATAATGCCCCACAAATGGAGTGCTAGTTAGGATATTTTGTTCATGGTAGTAATACTGATCAAATCTATAGTATCCCATCGCTCTATACGTTACACCTTCTCTTTCATCCCTTGAAATGTCAGAGGCATCTTTTCTACCACTCAATTCAATTTCCTGAACCCAACCGTCGCCAACCATCCTGCATACTACAGAGAGAACCCGGCTCGTTCTCTCAAGAGCTCCCAAGAGTCAGCCAGAAGTCCTGAATCAAAAATTATCGGGGACCAGGCGGATGAGAAGAGCGGTACGAGATTCTGAGTGAAGAACAAATACCAAGAGCCCCAACATTACTTGCGCATCTAGGTAGAATATATGAAAACTTGAGACAAATCGCTAACCTTGCTTCATAGACAAAACAGTTCAACTACCTCCAATGACCGCGAAAGAGCCTGGCCTTAGCTATAATGTCTTCAAAGGACTCTTAGCCATGGAATTTGATCCCGGACTTTATCAAGGTTTTCGACGTGAAGGAGTTGTGGCTTTCTTTGTTCCCCAAGGTGACATCGAGGATCCCTATGGCGACCTCATCGCCGATGTCGGCCAAATTGTTGAAAATGTAACTCTAACAATCCAGCCAGGTTTTTCTGAAGGAACGGCTACAGCTTCCACCCAATACCAACCGGGTCCCACCAATGAGCTCTCAACTCCATGCGAGACGACCCTTATGAACTCAGGTCTCTTCTCAGCTTGGCAGCTCATAATTCGGGCCCGCACAACCGATCTAGGCTCCATGCAACCCGGTTTGTTATTGGTTGTAACAAATGGCCACGTGCTAACTTAGATATAGTATCAGTGAGTTATGTATCAAATCTGTGCTCTGCATTGACCAAATACACAGTGGGGAATGCGCTAGAGAGGCTCAAGCCGGGTGCTCCATACGAGGAGGTCAGTGACGTATTGAAGGAGTCGGTGAGGGGATGATCAAGTACAATATCTTGCCCGAATGGTACCCAGTTAACATATTTCAGCTTATTGTGGTAATAATGAGATCAGTCGGCGGTTCAATGAGATTTGACGCGGGATGCATATTGTCCGAAGCATAACACAGATTTTCATTTAGCTTTCCAGAAATTGGTCGCGAGAGCCATGTGCTTCTGTCGATGTGAATAAATGTGAACTGCGATACCGGATTCAGATCCACATAGCCTATATTGTACGGAGTACGAGTATCGTTGATTCCATTCGCCTCTTGCGCCGTTGCTCTGGTTCCGGTGCTGCCGACGAGGCAGGAGTGGAGACTAGCACGATCAGATAAGATCATAACACGCCCATTTTTTCCCGTGTCGCCTACCCGCGGGGCGCCAAGACATCTCGCGCTGACGTGTTCAGCCGATTCGAGAGCGAGGAAAACGAGAAATGTGACTGAATTTATTTCAGCAAGTGAATATAGAAGGTTAGGAAGGAGATACAATGCAGTCAGCAAAGAAATATAAAGAAGAGAAGAAGTTGAAGCTCTGCAGGAGGCAAAGTGGGGATGTTGATGACCAATGATAATTGACTTTTGATTACTGTCACAAAACACAAATTACACTGATACACGCCTAAATAATCATGACTCAGCGTAATTAACGCCCGGGATACCGTCAGGGGTGACCGGAAGTGCGGTCAGCCGCGATCATACGACGAAACTGCCTTCCCCGGCTGCCTGGCCATTCAACCTCCCCTGATCTTCATGCATGGAGACTCTGGCAGTTCAATCACAGTTTGAAGCAATAGCTTGTATCTCTAGGGCTGTCTCTTCCCATTACGTTGTTCCTCGTATTTCTCAAGGCGCATGAGATCCACCTTCTCTTGGAGATCACCTTGACGCCAACGAATTTGGGAATCCACTTACTTCCTTGGGCCCAAGTACTTTACGTCTGTATGTGGGTATCTTCCACCCCTGCTTTCTGCTCCTCCAATCGCCTAGCACCGCCCGTGACTGTGACTCTCACATCCCCCTCCTCGCAACTCAGTCTTTACATCTCACCTTGCAGAAAGCACGGAGTACGTTCACGTCTATTAAGCTTCGTGCATTTGAGTTCGAGCGTTACACTTGAAGTTGAACCCAGTCAGTATCATCTATCTACCTCCTTAATGCTGTCAGGGATCGCCGCTAGCCTGTCTCGGCCTAGCTTTATGCTTGCCTATGGCTGTGCAGGCAGCTAGATTCTGTTCTTTTAAAGGAGCTGTGGCTTTTCTCTATTACTGAAACTAACATGTTTATCAGTGACAACTATCTAGAGTGCCCAATACTCATTCGGACTTAGACTGCCTTAGGCATTGGCCGAGGACCCAACCGTCCAAGATGTCCGGTCCCAATATGGAGAATGACTTTCAGCTATTTTCTTCACGAAACCCTGGTGGGGATGAGACACGAGGAAATGGTCATTTGTTCACACATCCCGTCGGAGAGAATGTGAACCAGGATTGGACCCAGTGGATGCGATGGGATGAACCAATGTTCTCGGAAGGAGATCAAAAGCCAATGGCCTCATCTATAGATCTACCATCTATTTCCCCGCAGACAGATATGAGCTCCCCAAGTCATTTGAACTACGGAGACTTCTCGCCTAATCTTCCACTCGGCTTGATGGAAATTCCATCCGAGCCCAATGCCGGGAACAACCTTGGGTACACCCACCGCCTGCCTGGACCAAATCGCACGAGCCAGCAGCAACCTTACGGTCTGGTGTCTCCAATCTCCAGTGTTGGCACAAGCCGGAAGCGAAAGACGGGCAGCGATGACGATGCCACCACAGTGACTGGACCAGTGCAGCCGGGCAAGAAAATGCCCGCCAAAAAGCGAGCTCACAACGTTATTGAAAAGCGGTATCGCGCCAACTTGAACGATAAAATCGCCGAACTTCGCGACAGTGTTCCCAGCCTTCGATCGCCCAAGAATCCGAGTGGAGGCTCAGCCGATGATGACGACGAAGCGGAGGGAGCAAATGCTGCCAACAAGCTCAACAAAGCATCCATTTTGTCGAAAGCGACGGAGTACATCAAGCATCTGGAAATTCGTAACCAACGCTTGGAAGACGAAAACACCGACTTGAAGAACCGACTCCGCCAGGCTGATAAAGTAGCAGATCAGGCCGCCACATCCTCAGGTTCTGTGTCCTCGCCCAGCAACTACGCCTCGACGGACTCGAACTCCGGTACATCACCTAGTGTCTTTTCTCAGGCGGAAGATGCGTCCAGTGAGAGTTCACCCACCTCTCCGAACCCCCCAGAAGGCCTCCTTCCGGTTCCCGATGCGTGGAAACGTATGCGAGCTGAAACGGCAAAGCAAGGAGTTTTTGCTGAATCATATATCAAATACCCATCCTCATCTCATCAACCTCAGTATGCGAGAGAAGATACCTCCACTCGACGTTCAAGGATGCCCAACAAGTATATGCTGGGTGCTCTTGCCGGTCTGATGGTGCTTGAAGGTATGGGCTCTGACGATTCCGAGTCCGAGTCGAAGGGCCTGTTTTCACTCCCCATCAGTCTTCTCGGCCGTTTCCAAACCCCCACACTGGCACATTGTGAATTCTACCTGAAGCAGTTCTGGTATTCGTGGCAGGCACGTGCATTTTCGCATTTCCTCATTCTAGCAACGCTGGTCGTCGGGAGTGCCTTTATTGTTTTTGTCTACTTGTTCAATGCACAGCCCATCACACGACGTGGCCCATCCAAATTGGCTACCGAGGGCCCGGCTGCGCCTCTTACATCTAGTGATTTCCGTCGGCAGGCTTGGCTGACTAGCATGCAACGGGTCGGTGTTCCACGTCATAGATTCTTCCGAGAGTGGTATGTTGTTACTTCGAGATGCTTTGAATACGTCTTACGATGCTTCATGGGATGGAAAGTCTACTCATGGGCCACTGGAATCACCGAGGAAGATGAGAAGGGACGAGTCAAGACTTGGGATATCGCAATTGATGCTCAACTCACTGGTGGAGATGCTGAGATCAGCAAGAGCCGCCTTGTGCTCACTATCTTCGCTGCCGGCACACTCCCTTGTACCCCCGCAAGAATGATAATAAAGGCCTTGCATGTCCGCATTCTCTTGTGGAACGTCGGAGAGGCGGGCTCCTGGTCATTCCATGTGTCAAACGACATTGCGCGAGCTCTTGCCAGATTCCAGTGGGGTGTAGCTCGAGAAATCAATTCCGCGCTGCCCGAGGGTCACCCTGATCAGCTTCCCCCTCATCTTGCTGCCCTGATCAAACTGGATTGCGAGGATGTCATGATTGACAACATTATTCAACGTGCTGTGAACCTGACCTGGAATCGACCAACCCAGGAGTGTACTGGCGACGATGAAGTGCTGCTTGATGTTGTGGATGAGGACCCAGCTATCCAATGTTCCCAAGATGCCCTTGCAGCTTGGTGGTCCAGCCATCTTCTGCAAACCGCTCTTCTCAACTATTTCGAAGCAAGCGGGAAGGGCCCGGTGTCCAAGGCAAGCCGTGATGCATTTAAAGAGAAGATTCGGATGTCCCTTGATGTGGCGCCAGTGCTTTCCGCCGCGCATACTCGGGCACTCGTGATGAAAGCAGTTTTCTTCGAGCACAACCGCATTGAAAATGTTGGGGCGGTTCTTGCCGCGCTACCGAAAGAGAAGAGAAAGGGAAGTCACAGCCATTCATCCAACTTCCTTGATTCCTCTCTGCCCGTTTCCGTGCGGGATGAAATCTCCATTGCCGTGCGCTGTGCTATGATTGCCACCATTGTTACCGAACGATCCACAGGTGGTGCCTCCTCACTACCCGACTCCTTCACTATGGAGAAGGCCGTGTCTTGGTTCAATCAGCTTCCGATTGATCCAGTCGAGCTTTCTCTCATCGGTTTCTCGTCTGTCTACCATCTCCTACACCTCCTCGCCTCTGACGTGGATTACATTGCGTCATCCGATTCATCCCCTTCGGCTCCAGCCTCGGAGGCGGCTATCTCTTCCGCAGACGACGAAGCCGAAGAAAAGCCCCGTCCGAATCAAAAACTTTCCCTCTGCCCACGTGACATTCCCAATCTTGGGCGGGTATCAGCAGAGCTCATCTATTGGGCCCGAAATGCCTACACTCCGGCTTTCTACGGCTTTTCATCTACTCTCGTCGAGGTGATTGTCAACTCGTGCACAGCAATCTGCCAAAATGCAGGCATCAATGTTGAAGATTTTGTGCACACCGCACCTGACAGGGCTATGTCTAAGAAACGCAGGACCCGTCGTCGCAGGGGAGAATCTCAGTCATCCGAAAGCGACGCCGATCAAGATCTGATTGACTATCCTGTCGAAAGACCGCCTCTCCGCCGGGCACGATCGGCTAGCAACGACACTGGGTATGGCAGCCTCTCTGTTGAAGAAGATGGAAAGCCAATACCTCATGCCCCTTCCAATGTGCAGGAGGTCCCCAGCTGAGATGTCTAATGATCCTAGGACGGGTGTGGTGTCACTTATGCAAACCCAATAATGACGGCGTTTTCGGTTTTTGTATTTCTAATTGGTTATGGTCAAGGCCTTTTGGTCATGAGAAAAAGGGGGAATGGAATAACCCCAGAAATAGCGTATTTGTACAGGCTCTAGCGCCAACTAGAATGGCATTATCATAACATAGTTGATAATTGATATTTGAATGAATCCATTTGTGCTGTATGAATAGAAGACCTCTGGTCTATAGAGCCTAGGCTCCTAATAGAACAATTCTGCATTCAACCTGTTCTTAGGAATCGGTTTTTACACGGGATGGCTCTACAAGAACAGCGAGATTTGCGATGTTTCCAATTTGTCTCTTTTCTGGCATGCAACAATCCATTGTCGGCATGCCATAGCCACCATAGAGGTCACAGCTCAAGGGATCTGATGATTCCGGTATCACACCGTTTAGTTATCCCGTTTTGGTATATACTATGTGGTATTTATATATGTTTGGAGCAATCTAGACCCGAGGACCTCA